AATTAACTCTCATGGTGAAGTTTTGGAGACTCAAAAACTCTATCTTTTTATTTAAAAAAAGAGAGGAAATATTACAAGGAAACAGGCTTTGGGATAATAACTATAAGAGTAGTGATACTCACATTGAATACTTACAGTGAAATGCCTAACCAAATAATTTTTAATTGGCTATTTATACCGAATACAACTAAGTGGATGGCTCCTCCTATTTATTTGTTGTATAATTGACCAATTAAAAGAGTAGGTCCAACAATTAACTGCAACTATTCGGTGCAATAATTATTTTCCTAACTATAATAATAGTTATAATTATTGTTATTAAACATAGGTTCATCATGTTAACGTTTTCAAAGCTGTATCCGTAATGTAGTATCTTTTAGAATACAAAATAAAAAACATAAGTAAAATAGTTACTTCTTGACCACTTATGTTTGGATCATATTGTAAAATAGTAAAGAAGTAAACTTTGTTACCTTAGTTAAGAGAGAAAGAAGGTGAGAAATTGCTAATATTGAATTTATCTAACAATTATGAAGGGGTGGTTTTGTAATTTAAATTTTTTAGAATGGTCTTGCTTTTATTCCCTCTGTTTGGCCTTGAAAAAGCTGGTGTCGATTCCGATGGAACCAGAAGGGCGTTCCAGAAACTGTAGTAGTTCCAAAGAGAGATCCAAATAATATTCCAAAAGGAACACTGCGGGACCAGGCGATTATGAAGAGGTCTGGAATGAGCACCTCTGGGTTCTTTTTGTCTTTGATAAAGGACTTCGGGATAGTTAACTGGCTAGGAAGAACTGTAAAATTATTTAATGAAAAGTAAAGTGCAGGACTAAGACTAATCATATTGAAAGTGCATTGCAATGAAAAGTAAAATTATATTGAAATGTTGTGTTTGGCGTTGAGCAGGCCTATTACGTTACACATAATGACCTATTTATAGATTGAAAAATACAATCAGTTAATAATAGCAGTTCCATAGTTGCCACCAAAAGCTGCCAAGTGTCCCACAACATGCAATCGTGCCCTAACCACTTAGTCAAAAAAATTCTTAAGTTAATATCTGAATCAGAAATCACCTTCGACATTTTCCATTATATTGGTCCTTTGAATGGACTAGGGCCAGCTTTGTTGAATGAATTTCCTGCATCTTTATCCGAGTTTTATCCTGCAACAGAGGATAATCTTCGATTTAATTGGGAATACCCATTGATCCTTGTCAAAGGGAAAAAGGTGAAACCCCTCTTTCTCTCAAGAACTGGCCAAGATGACGTCTATTATAGAAGTCATGGGTCAATCGCCTCTCTAGTGATGACAAGATCGCCTCCACTTGGAAAAGGTAAGGTATTTTTGATGCCATACAATTGAGCAAGGTATCAATGATTCAGGACAAGAACCTATTTTTTCCTGCTGTCTTTTTCTGGTCTAATGTGACCAACTCTTTACATCTTCGGAATGGAATGATGTCTGTCACAATGAGGGACATTTGCTGTATAACTAGTTTGAAACCTCATAGAGATTATATCAGCGCTTTGCTACATGTAGGTTCTTTCAGCTTTCCTTCCTCTGAGGATGGAAACAAGAAATTCTTTCCTCTCCTATCCCTTTTATGGAATATCATAACAAAAAGACTGGGCCCATTACTTTGAAAAAGCTAACTGCCTTCTGATTTTTGGGCACTCTGGACACTTATTTTGTGTTCCCTCCAGACAAGTCACCAAGGATTTCATCCAGATTGCCATTGCTTTTGCCAAAGGTGCAAACTTAGCCCTTGCTCCTCTGGTTTTTTCTCACCGTTATCGAGGTATGAATGATTTTTTAGAGTTTAATTTCACTCACTTTTGCGGTCCATTCTGGATTTTCCTGGTGTGGCTGAAAAATATTTTCCAAGCTTGACTACTCCTATTTCTGTTCAACCTGAAAAATCTCTTTTATCTTATAGCTTTATTGAAAGCTGCCCACCCCTTTCTCTTTTACAGAAGTATTTCGTTTCTTCTATGACAATAATGAATTTAAGCCAAACTCATCCTTAGATCACTTTTCCACTTATGGACTGATGCCTTCTTGGCTTGTCCCCTCCCTTGGAGTTTTCGCCAAAAAGTTTTCTAATGATTGGAAGAAAATTTAGGCAAGCTTTTTAATCTGCCGTGATTTGCACTATGGAACCTCCACTCCAACTTCAAAGAATAGTCATTGTGGGGTTGAGTATTACAATCCGGCTTAGTTGGCTAGACAATATGGCTTGACACAACTCATTCCTTTGCCCCCTTCCGAATCGACTAATAGACTCTTTAACACAAGAGTCAGATTTACCGAGAATGAGCAATTCCAAGCAGTGGATGAAAAGTATGCTTTAAAGAAAAACTCCTTTGAATTTGAAGACTTCAATAGTTTTCCAGAGGTAACTCAAGATTCATTGATTGGTGGACTGCTTATGCTAATTCAACTGGAAAATTGGCTTATATAGAAGTTTGCAATAGGCTTTTAAGCTTCTTTAAGCCTATCACACCGAGCCGTGAAGAAACATTCTCTGATGGTAATCTTTCCATACCTTGAGTTTTTTTTTCCAAACTAACCACATATAATCTGTTAATAAAAACCTCTTTTCTTTTAGCAGACAATGATAATGATGATGCCGATGGAAAGAACAAGAATCCTGCCGTAAGAAATGAAAAGTTGAATTGACTGCAGAAGTAGAAGGTATTGAAGGAGGTGGGGATAGTAATCTAGAAGGCTCTGGTGGTGACAAGCCTCTAGGAAGTGACAAAGGTATGGCCCTTATGAAGGTTAAGAAATAAAATTTTTGAGAGGACGAGCTCTATAAAGTAAAAGGGAAAAATAAAGCTGCTTCTTCTTCTCAGGTATTTTATAAATACTCTTCTAGTTGGTATAACATCATTTTCATCCCTTTCTTAATAACTTCTACTAGACTTTTCCATTTGACAGGCTCTAGCCATTGCCAAGAAAAAGTACATACCTCCTATCACTTTGTCGATTGAGGATAACTCCTCTACCGCCTCTGAAAAGAGTACTTCAAAAAGGATTTCTTCAGTGGGAACTTCTGCCAAGTCCATGAAATATGCAAGTCCACTTGACAGAGATCGTCCCTTGAAAAGTAAAAAGAAACTCCTTGTGGACCCCGAACCAGATGAAGAGTTTGATTTCTTTCAACTAACTCCAAAAACAAAGAAAGCCAAGAAAGAAATCAACTTGGTGAGTTAGTCTTTACTGCCCTTCCTTTAACTTGTACTTGACTAACCATTATTCCTTCTTCTAGGGAGCTTCCACAGGCCACAATTTGTTAAACATTGCTTTGGAGAGTGTTCTATTAGAAGAATAAGACTTTGATCTCCAAAATTCTATTACTGCAAGTTTAATTCCTCTACTCAATTTGGATAACAATACAATACTTGCTTCCATTAATCCCATTGTTATTGTTCCTCCTTTGAAAGTTTCAACTGGACTTACTTCTTCTTTTCCAGAGGTAAACCCTTTCCTCTTAAATTTTCAATAAAATTTCTTCAATTAAACCTAAACTGTTTCCTTTTCTATGATATAGACAACTCATTCATTATCCACCTTTACCTCCTTTATGGTAAGGCACTCCCAGCCTTGGACAACTTGTATAAAGTGGCTAAGGCCTCAAAATCTTCAAGCACTTTTACCTCTAGTACTAGTATTCCTGTTGCTCATTGTCCAACTGGATAAGCCTTAAGAGTTAGTAAAGCTCAATTGTTCCAATACCTTGAGAAGAATGTCGAAGAGATTCCTTCATTTCATCAAAACTTGATCACTGTCTTGTCTACATTGAAGAGAAATCCAAACATTTCTTAAGAAATTAAACTCTCTTTAGGCCAACTGGAACACCAGCTGCCTTTCATGGTGGCAAATATCAATTCTTTGGTAACGGCCACTGGTGAACTCAATTAGAAAAGTCAGTTGAAAGATAAGGCTTCTAAGAATCTCAATAACAACCTCCTTCCTTATCCAGAGATCAAAACCAACTTTAAGTAAGTGGCTAATAAAAAGGAAAGTCTTACTACTGAGATGGAAAGAATTCAAAAGGAATTGGAGAGACTTGAGACAAAAGAAGCTGAATTGGAATAGATTACTCAAGCAATCTTTGCTCAGTCAAGCAAACATAGGAAGAGCTGGGAGGACCTTGCTGAAGAAATTCCTCTTCTAGAAGAGGTGAAAAACAAAGTTGCGGAAGAAGTAGATCAATCCAAGTTTCTTTGGGAAAGCTTCAAAGGCAAGTTTGCCTCATTGTGAATGATGTGGTTCTTGGTTAGCTTTTATGTCCCTTTTTGGTCATTTTCTTTTGATTTAATAATCACAAGTGTTCTAGGTCTGTACACCTTTCTTTTGAATGACATGTAATGGAACTTTCTCATATATTAAAATGCCATTTTAGTTTCATCCTATTTCTTTGTGCTTTCAAACCTCACTTTATTTAATTGAAACGGAATGCATAAGAAATAAAAGGCAAGATTGAAAATATAACTTAAGAACCATGAGTTAGTTCCAAATATAATACATCAAGAACATGAAATAACCAAAATACCTCTTGTTGGAATACTCGGTTGTTTTATTCATTTAAAAATCCTTTGAAAATTCATAATTTCCAAGGCCAGTGAAACGACGATTGGAAAAATTTTAAGTTTTCCCATAGGAAAATCCTCTTTCCCTTCTAAATGCAACTTTCCTTTTGGAAGGCTTGACCAACCGTTCATTCGGCTGGTCTTAGTATCCTTTTCTCCCATGCTTTAAAGATTGAGTGGTGGTACAGCTTCAAGTGTACCCGATGGGAGACGAATGAGGCTCACCATCTATATCCATCAACTGAATGGCTTCTTTTCTTATAACCTTTTCAACCAAGAAAGGTCCTTACCATTTTGGAGTCCACCTTCCATACTCTCTATCTCTAATCCCAAGTGGCAATTTGACGTCCCAAACCATATCTCCTTCTAGAAAAGACTTAGCCTTTATCTTTTTGTTGTAGGCTCATATTACCTTTTTCTTTTTTGCAATGACATAGTCTAAAGCACTCAATCGTACCTCATCAAGGTCTTCTAACTCTACTAGCATGGCTTGAGTATATTCAGTTGGAGTTAGCTTATTCTTAAAAGCTACTCTTGCTGACTTCACTGTCATTTCCATTGGAAGTACTGCATCGTGACCGTATGTTAACATATAAGGAGTAACTTTGGTACTTGATCTTTTTGAATTTTTATATGCACACAATGCTTCTGACAAAAGGTTATGCCACTGCCATGGATACTTCTCAATCATCTTCTCAATTATGCTAATGATGACCTTGTTAGACGCCTCTGCTTGTCCATTTGCCTGTGCAAAGTATGGAGTAGAGCTTGTGAACTAAATATTATATACATTGAAAAGATCCTGCACCATACTTCCTAGAAAGGAAAGACTTCTATCTGTGGTGATGGTTTCTGGAATTCTAAACTGTTGATTGTACATAAGATTTCAATGGAATGGCTTCCACCTATTTCATGAAATAGTCTGTGGCCACTACTATATGAGTATGGTCATCAGCAGAAGGAGGTATGATTTTTTCAATGAAATCTAATGATCACCCTCTAAATGGCCAAATCTTCATCACAAGTTACATGTTGATGGCTGGTACTCTCTGAATAGGACCATACTTCTGACAAGCTTGATAACTTTTGGTAAAGTCATTACAGTTTTTTAAAATGCCTCTCCAGCTTCTTAGAAGCCATCTCATCTTTGTTCCAGCTTGATGGGCTCCATATAGCCCGTTATGAACCTCCCCCATGACTTAAATTGATTCCAGATTGTCCAAACACCTGAGGAGAAGACCATCTGCTTTGCTTTTCTTATACAATTCTCCGTCCATTAGAATATAGTGAGGAGTTGCAAGCCAAATTTTCTTATTAACATTTGTGCTTAGATTCATCAGGAACTTAATGATGGGGACTCTCCAATCATCTGGATCTGCCTCCTCCAAGTCAATATAGTTAACTTCAAAATGTTCATTCCTTATTTCTACAGATGGAAGTGGTCTCATTTTTATTGAGATTATGGTTTCATCTACTCCAGGTGGAACTCTTATACTGGATGCTACCCGAGCCAGTCCATCTACCTATTTGTTCAGGTGTCTTGGCAAGTGTTGTAACTGATAATCATCAAATTGATCCAGTAATTGTAAGGCCAAGAAATGGAAAGGACTCAGATGATGACTAAGGCATCTGTATTCATCGGCCAATCGGTTGATCACGAGCTTGGAATCTCCAATGGTAAGTACACTTCTGGCTTTCATTTCTAATAGAATTTCCAAACCAATTATGAGTGACTCATACTCATTCTGGTTATTAGTACATAAATAATTTAAAAAGAAAGAAAATGAAGTCTTCCATTTCCTTGGAGAAATTATGATAATTCCAGCTCCTCCTCTGTCGCTAATACATGAACCATCAAAGAGTAATGTCCACGAAGAATGTTCGAGGTAGAGACTATCCACCTCGTCACACATTTTCGTTGCTATTTCAGTGGAAGGGTGATCAGCCAGAAACTCTGCCAATGTACGTCCTTTGACTGTTTTCTGTGGAATATACTTAAAACTGAACTCCATCAATGCCAATGACCATTTTCCAATCCTTCTAGTAATCAAAGGCCTTGATAGCATATACTTAATCAAATTAGTTTGAGAAACAATGTACACAACAACTGGAAGCATGTACATTCTTAATTTCATTGCAGAATAATACAAAGCAAGACATAACTTTTCAATTGGAGTGTACCTACATTCCACTGGAGTGAGTACTCGACTAAGACAGTAAACAACATGTTCCTTTCCCCACTCATTATTTTGCGTCAATAAAGTCCCAATGGACTCCTCAGCAGCCAATAAGTATAACCTTAAAGGCGGTTTCATTATTGGTGGCATCATTACATGTGGATTGGACAAGTATCTCTTGAGTTCTTCAAAAACTGCTTGATGCTAGTTTATCCACTGGAAATCTTCTGTTTCATCAGCTTCAGAATAGACGAAAAAATATGGGTTTTTCCAGCATGATTGGAAATGAATCAGCAAAGAAAACCTACTTGCCCCATGAACCTCTGAAGCTCATTCTTACTCTGAGGAGGTTGTGCTTCCATAATGGCTTAGCTTTGCTCTTGTCAACCACTATTCCTCTCTGATGGACCAGAAAACCTAAGAGATTTCCAGCTGAAACTCTAAAAGCGCATTTCAATGGATTCATCTTCAACTTGTGCATCCTCATCTTAAGAGATTTCCAGCTGAAACTCTAAAAGCGCATTTCAATGGCCATTTCTAAGCTGATCAAGTGTTGAGGCTTCTCTGATGACTTGATGACTACATCGTCAATATAAACCTCCATAAACCTACCAATTATATCATGGAAAATTGCATTAATCACCTTTTGGTAGGTAGCTCCTGCATTCTTAAGGCCGAACGGCATAACCACCCACTTAAATGTCCTAATAGAGCCTGGACATCTAAATGCCGTTTTTGAAGTATATTTTTTAGCAATATAGATCTAATTGTAACTGGAATGGCCATCCATGAATTATAGAATTCCATTCTTTACGGCTGCATCTACCAATTGGTTTGCCACGGGCATTGGATATTTATCCTTTGGAGTTGCAAAGTTGATATTTTGAAAATCTATGCTTACTCTCAGCTTGCCATTCTTCTTGATGACTAGCATTATATTTGAAAACCATTCTACATACCTGGTAGTTCTGATGAAACCTGCTTTTAAAAGCCTTTCAATTTCTTCTTTGACTTTCAGAATAACTTTCTATGACATCCTTCTAGGAGGTTGTTTGAAAGACCGGTACCTTCCTTGATTGGTAGCTTATGCTCCACCAATTTTCTAAAAAGACCAAGTAACTCATCATATGTCCAAGCAAAGCAATCCTTAAAATCTTTTAAGAGAGAAATCAATTCTTCTTGAAAACTTGGTTCCAATAGCCTACTTATATAGGTTGGCCGTGGATCTTCCTCTGTCCCCAAATTAATTTCTAATAGTGGATCCTGAACCACGGCCTTTAAATCATTAAGCTTTACTGGAGTAGACTTCAAATCTGCTAGTTGAATCGCATTTAGTTTACCTTTTGGATCTTCTGTGGTTTTTACCAAGTTACTAGAAAATACCTTGGCACATTGTTTACTTCGTTCCAACCATAATTCGGCTAGATATGCTTTTAATCTTGCCAGGCAACAGTTCACTGCTTGGTTTCTTGCCTTCTCTTTCTAGTGAGCTTCTTCCCTTAAAACTATTCAAAGTGTAAGGTGTTGGACATCAGCCTGTGAGAGGATTGTTGGCCTTGACATCTCCTGAAATAACTCCTTAGCTTCTTCTGTCGTAAGAGTTTTCCGCATTGTCGCTGACTTGGGTCAGCCCTTGCTGTCTTTTCCAATGAACCTCTTTGGCACAAACTCTTTATTTTAAAGCTCAGCATCTGCATGATACACTTTAGCAATGAATGGTTTATTGTCCGCCTCTACAATCTTAACTTCATCGCTATCCCAAAAAATTAGCATTTGATTCAACATGGATGGAATTCAAAAATTAGGATGTATCCATTCGCGACCTAATAATAAATTATAGGCCACTGTGGATTCCACAATAAAGAATGCTGTCATGGTTGTAACATCTCCAATAGTCAATTCCAATGGAAAGATTCCCTGTGTTTCCACTGAACCTCCAGTAAATCCGCTGATAGCCACATCACTAGGGATTATATCCTCAGTTGTCTTGCCCAATTTCCTCATGACATTAATAGGAACAATATTCAGAACTAAAACATTGTCTACCAAGACTCTTGAAAATGGACGACCCTCAATTAATACCTTTATGTAGAGTGGCTTCAACTGCTGAGTCATTCCAATAGGGGGTTTCTCCAAAACCACCTTCTTTAGAGTTGGAAGTACATCATTTTGAATTTCAATTTCACAAGGCTCTTGGAAAGCCTCAGCTTCTTCTTCTAAAACTTCCTCCGTAATTTCTTCTATGTGTATACCATCAACCCTTTTTCTCTGGAACTAAATCCAATTCAGTAACTTCTGTTTCTTTTGGAATTGACTCATCGTCAGCAAAATCACCTATCATTGGAGATGGCTGATTTGGTTTGGATTCAAAAACTAATGGAAGGATAACAACCATATTGCATGACATTTCCTCCGAAAAGCTCCAAAAATGGATTTTCTTCATACTGGATGAGTTCTTAGAACTCTTCAGTTCTTTTACTATGATTTTTTCTTGCGCCTTATCGTCCTCCACAAGGGACTATTCTAGCTCAGAAGCAAAGTCTTCTAACCAGTTTAGGAGACTTTATCTCTTTCCCTTGCCAATTTCTCGGTTAGGTCTATGGGCTTTCTTACTTCATTTTTCACTTTCCAGCCATGATCCTCCTCCCATAGCTTTCTTCCATTAGCTATTCTCCTTTGGAAACGGCGCTTCTATGTTCATGTGTAAGCTGCATCTCTATATTTGGAAAATTTGGGAAGGTCCACCTTTCTCCACCTTTCTGAATGGGGAGTTGGGGGCTTAATCATCCCTGGATTAAGGATTTTAGTATCTTTCTTTACCCAGACCTCTAAAGCGACTCTGGGCTTTCCATGAGCAGCATCAACAAACTCCTTATCCTTTCTGGTAGGTATTTCCACCTTTTTTGCATGAAATCTAGAGTCTCTTCTTCTAGGCAGAAGAATGCTTCTTTTCTCATAATCCCTTGCTTCTAGGATTCTTGGCTGAAACCTAAAGTTCTCTACATATTCAGACCTCTTTTGACTAATGGGCCTTTTGTCAACATACCTTCTTTGGCTGGAATGGTTACAATAACCGATTCTACCGGTTGTCGGAAGGTCAAGTTGTCACGAACCTTTTTTTTCTGACCATACTCCTCACTTGATGTCTGCTCCTCCTTGTTCTTGCCCACCAATTTATGGACCTTGCATTGAGGGCAACACCCTTGCAGGATGAGGACAATTTGAGCTTCTCGGAGCTGCCTTTCCAGTTTCGCCACAGTTTTTTTCAATGGAATTGACTCTTGCTCAGCAACTGCTTTCCCTTTCGCCTTTCTTTCATCCAAGTCCACTTTCTTTCTGGGATGGTCAGCAGCGATACTAATTACATTGGTAGTGACTACTGCTGGAAAAGGATTTCTATCTTTTCCCATTGCTTCACTTTTTTCTGGAAACTTCATCTTTCCCTCCTCAATCACTTTCTGCATAATATCACGAAAAATAACACAATTATTAGTTGAGTGTCTCCAAGAATTATGATACTTATAATATTCTTTTCCAAGTAAATCGTTAGGAGTTGGGAGTTTATGCCCAGGAGTTAGAATTACTTGCTTGTCAGCCATCAATAAGTCAAATATTTGCTCAACCTTGGCAATGTCAAAGGAATATCCTTTGGCAGAATAGGCATCTCTTTCTTATTTGAAGTGGAAGCGGCTTGGGCACTAGTAGTAGCTATAGATTTTGATTTTAAGTGCCTCACAAATATATGGCTTTTTGATGTTTACTTCTGCCATATGGACCTTGAAATCACTATCAAGGCCAGCAGCAAAGACTTCATAATTTGGATTGCAATAGTAAGTTCCTTTTGAGGAAGCTTTCCTATCCTTCTCCTCATAAAGTAACCCTTCATACTTGGCAATCCTACTCGCCAAGTCAAAGAGATTGCGGAATTCTATCCCTTCGAATTCCTTGCGCAATTCAAGGTCTAGACCATTAACAGCCACTTTGACATACTCAATTTCTGGAAGATCTACATGAAACTTGTGTTTTATCTTTCTGAATCTGGACAAGAAGGCTTCTACGGACTCTCCTGGCAATTGGTTAAGCCTAGAAAGATCAGCTATGGAAACTTCTGGCTCAGTTTGATAGAAATATGAATGGAACATTTCTTCAAACTGATGCCAACTATTAATAAAATTTGCAAGAAAGTTAGTGTACCATTTGAAGGCATATCCGGTTAAAGTATTAGGAAACAACTGGACTTTTAACCATTGATTGCCTCCTGCGTCACTACATTGAACTGTAAATTGGCTTATATGTTCCACAATGGACTAGTTACCTTCGCCACTGAAAGTGGCAGATTTAAGAATTCTGAAATTCCTTGGATATTCAACATTATCAATGAACTTAGGGTATGGTTTCCTATAGACAGGTCTTCCACCCCTTCTAGTCAAACCAAATTCCTACTGAAAGAATTCAGTAAGTTGGCATCTATCCATCACCGGCAACTGAACTGGTGGTGGTTGGTAATTCTCCGGCCATCCTTATGGTTGGTTGGCCATGGGCTGCCCCCCAAAAATCACTAGAAGTGTGTTTGGGTCTGGGTTGTTCCTCTAGTGACCTCTATTGCCTCCTTCTTTAGGAGGCTCCCTTAATATGTTCTGCCCCCCACCTACTGCAGAAAAAACCTGTGGTGGTCTTTGAGGGATGGTAGGTGGTGGCTGAACATTTTGCTGGCCAATATTGGGTGGAAAATACAAAGGATTTCTGTAATGAACCGGTCATTTTCTTTCCTTTCGTTTTCCTCAGATTTTCACGGATATTTTTTTCCGTTAATTCTTTCTTTTCTGAGTTCAGTTTCTCATCACTTAGTGTCATCTCGGGTGCTCTGGAATGATTTTCGAGACTCTTTTCTTTGGATTGACAACTTCCTTGGAGGACCGTATCATTTCCATAATTCATTTTTCGAACACTATTCACTTTTCGTCCTTTTCCTTATTTCGTCTTTTTCCCTATTTTGTCTTTTCCCCGTTTGTCACTTTTTGGCACAACCTCACTTTTCATGCTCAGAGTGGGTTTTTGACTTCATGTACCTTCATCCTAAGTGGTTTCCACCAAACATGTATCTTTACTTTTGTAGTAAAGTACTCTAGTTGCTCCCG